ATCAAATTGTGGGGTAAAAAGGTGCGTCTTATACACCGAAAAATACGTTAATGTTTAGTACCTTAAACAGCTTGCTTGCTGAATAATAAAAAATAATGAATTAGTAACATTACTACTAGATAGATTTCAAATCATACATAAATATAGGTACACTGTGGTGAGAAAAAATAACTAAAAACACAGTGCTTATATAAACACGAATTCCCCCACCACTATTTTCTCAGAGCCCGTGGAAGCTGCATTCAATGATTTTTAAAATCTATTTTATCCTCAAGCATCATTTTAAAGCTCGTATTAATCTATCAAACTTCAGTATAAATTCTGTATTTAAAATATTTTAACATATGTCGAGAACGAGTCTGAATTTTTACCTGTCTCCTAAAACAACTGGCGGGTTACATTCGGCTGTCATGGTGAGCAGTGGGTGATGTTTGATTCGTAAGAAGGGAAGGACGTGCATGATTGTTTTGTTATGCAATGTACCTCTGTGTTTTTCCGTTTGTAGTACTGCAGACAACTGAATTTCAATATCCTGAATATATATAAAAACAAAACGGCACAAACAAATGTGCACTTTAATAAAGCACAAATAACGTTTAAAAATAAACAATAAAAACTATTCTGACGATTAAACGACTCAACATTTGTGCATTTTTGCTTTTTATTTCAATTAGTTTTTGCAAAAGTTGATTTGATTGACTTATTATGTATTTTAATATTAAAAATATGCATTACTACTTATTTGAAAATTCAATTTCATAATATCTAAGACTTTAACAACGCAAAAAAAGGCCTTTACTGATTTTTATGCAATTTTATTTTCTTAATGTATTTACGCCACACATTATTTATTTAATATATCGCAACCCAATTGTTTTGTTCCTTTAATTTCAGTTTATATGTTCATCAAGAAAAGAAATTTTATCATTTTAAATTTTATTATATATATTTATTTATGAATATGAGAGTTTCGAACTTTAATATACTACAATGCAAAAAGTTGTTTAAACTTTTAATTTCAATTTACACATTCTACAAGAGATAATAGGATTGAATAATACTATTTTTAACGAATAAATGGTAATTACACAAATAGTTGGAATCTAGTTGCGTTAAAAGAAATCAGCAAATATTCATTTTTCTGTACCTTTATTAATATTTAATTCCCCCCTCTGGTCTCCACGAAACTGCATTGTGTAATAAATGAATACATGTATTCAAAATTAATTTGGTTTTCTTAATCTCAGCTACAATCTTACTTGTGATATTTCGACAGATTGGAATGGAGACAACTGAACAGCTGAAAACCTACACCTACCAGACGAAAATACCGTTCAAAGCAGTGTTAAAGGATAGTGTATCATATGTACAAGGTACATCTCAAAGTGGATAGCAAAAAACACCTAACTAGCCAGATTATTCTCTGATGTTATAATCAGATCGATTAAATTTCTTTCGTGACATGTGATATTTTCAAACCAGATTAATAAATACTAGACACTGTGCTATTAGCAACACGTATCAGCCAGTGTTGTAACTGTAATATATTTGAGCAGTTAATCCTCTTACGTGTTTTATTTTATATTTTATTTATTTGAATATCTAAAAATACCATAGTTATAACTACTTGGTTATTACCTTGGTCATTGTGTGAAAGTCAATCTTGCTCAAATTGAGCAAGAAAAGGCAGCTATGTTTCTCCCAAGGTTTCAACCTAATCGGAAAATGGCTTCCCCAAGCAGAAAATGTTAGGGTCAGTGCTGAGGGCGTGAGTAACTTAAATTCGTCTTTTGGGTTATTTCTACAGCACACACAAGAAACAAAAAATTGCTCTTGGGAAGTGATTCTAGTTTTCAATGAAATCGACACCAATATACATAAATATTTCAAACATAATAAAACCATATCAGGAAGTAATAACATTTTAGTAACCTAACAGAAAACAATTGTTTGATTAAATAAATTGTAATTTCATAAATAAAAGATAACATAATACATACGTTTACGAATAATAAACAAATTATTAAAAATAAAAGCGTGTAAAAAAGAAAGTATAATCATATTGCATCTTAAAATGGTTAGATAATAGTAATAAAAAGACGATGTTTTTATTTTAGTGTAGTTATGAAAATATTTATTTATGTTATATTTAATTTGCAAAATAATCTCAACATTACATCAAAATTGAGTGTATAAAATTACTTAGTTTATAAAATGATCATAAAAACTTGAAGGGGTTGGGTTTCATTAACATTGAGTGTAAAACTGTTTAATTTATAAAATACTAGGTTTCATTAACAATGGGTGTGAAATTACTTAAGTCTACGAAATACCCCAACAGAGCTTGAAGGAGCTATGTTTAATTAACATTGGGTGTGAAGCTAATTAGCCCTGGAGTAATTATGCGGAAGAAAAATGTGACCAAGGATAATTCTATTACTTTTGAATATGCTAAATAATACCGGATTAAGCCTTCTGGGGATCCAGGGTTAAATATATTTTTAAGAGTCTGTCGATGGATTTAGGGTCCCGGGTCTATAGCCTCTGTGTTAATTCGGTATTGATGCTAATATTCAGTTATGGATAGTAATTAGGTGGAAATATTCCAACTATAAAATTTGGTCCTGTAGTGTGTTCATGACGGTTTGGTCGTCCACAAGGCAACTTTCATATTACCTGCTGTTGTTGTGAAAACATTGTCGTACATAAAGAAATTATGCAGGAAAGTTGGACGACAAAAATTCCTTTATTGATTATTATCTGAGTGAAAAATATTTCAGTGTTTTTAACGATTTTCCAAACATAAAAGCAACAGTAGTTTGAACGCTAGAACTATAAAACATGTGGTTATTTGGCGGTTTGTGTACCGGTTTCTTCCTTTAGTTGCATAACCTGTGATAAACGCTGGAACTATAAAACATGTGGTTATTTGGCGGTTTGTGTACCGGTTTCTTCCTTTAGTTGCATAACCTGTGATAAACGCTGGAACTATAAAACATGTGGTTATTTGGCGGTTTGTGTACCGGTTTCTTCCTTTAGTTGCATAACCTGTGATAAACGCTGGAACTATAAAACATGTGGTTATTTGGCGGTTTGTGTATCGGTTTCTTCCTTTAGTTGCATAACCTGTGATAAACGCTGGAACTATAAAACATGTGGTTATTTGGCGGTTTGTGTACCGGTTTCTTCCTTTAGTTGCATAACCTGTGATAAGCTCGTGCATAGGAAAATGTTTTGCTAACGATATTGGGTTTTGACAGTTATGATGGACAAAATAGTTTATACTTACAAGTTGTACACAGTCTTTTAACTTTTAGTCTATTTGTGAATTTATAAAAAATGTTTACACATTGAAAGAGCGTGTTCTTGTAGTTGTGTGTATTGAAATGTAGTACGAGTTTATATGTTTAACACACACACAGACATACACTACTACAAAACTTGTTTTTATGTTAGTCACTGTAAATATGACATGGCTCAACATGTAGTATGAGTTTATCCGTACATGTTTATTAACACATGATTGGTAAAATACCTCACATAAGACAATGTGTTTTGGGTACAAAACATTTATGACTTCTTTTTGTCACAGTGAATATTGTTTTTATTTTTTCATTATGTATTCTGATTACATTTTATAGTTTGATGGAGTAAAAGGTAATATAGTATCTTTCATTGACTAGATTCTTTGTCTACCTGCTGGTCTTGATCAAGAATAGTCTTTTTGGCACAACGCTTGTGTAATGACTGGAAACTCATGTTTTAGGCACAACGCATGTGTAATGACTGGAAACCCACGTTTTAGACACAACGCATGTGTAATGACTGGAAACCCACGTTTTAGACACAACGCATGTGTAATGACTGGAAACCCACGTTTTAGACACAACGCATGTGTAATGACTGCCTTTGAGTACAATATTTTTACTCTCATTACCATTAAATTTTTATTACACATTATTTCAGGAAAATATGGTCAATGATGACAATTGAACATCCAAGATAATACACCGAATATTCAATTAACATTAATTTAAGTATTTAACTGAAATATTCAAGACCCCCCCCCCCCTAAGAATTTTCAATAAAGTTACAATGAACCAAAGTAAATTAATCTCAATTTCGAATATTGAGTGTTCAGATTATTTTAAAATTCTATTTGGTTTATCAAGATATTGTTAATATGGTTTACGTGTCACCTGTCTATGCAACCTAATTACCGTACTTTTGTCGTACATGAGGAAAATACGAAACCCTATAACCCGAGTGTTTTCGAAAAGTGGACTGTTCTTCATCAAGGACTAATCAATGAATAAAGGTCAATCTTTCGAAAGTGCTCGGGTTAAAGGAATTTTGTATATATTTTTATTAATCTTTAATTGACTTTTTTGATCTTGCGTGTTTTCCTAATACCACGAATTTTCCGTGTATGTATATGTGTAGAAGAAACCGGTACAAAGAACATGATTACCAGAAAGCAATGAACTTAGTGGAAACAATCAATACGCTTTCCGGTTTCTTATTTATTTCCGTTAGCGAGGGTATAAGGAAATGTCGTTCCATGACTGGAAAAAAACAATGTAAAAGCCCAGGATGTATTGGAAAAAAAACAATGTAAAATCCCAGGATGTATTGGAAAAAAACAATGTAAAAGCCCAGGATGTATTGGAAAAAAAACAATGTAAAAGCCCAGGATGTATTGGAAAAAAACAATGTAAAAGCCCAGGATGTATTGGAAAAAAACAATGTAAAAGCCCAGGATGTATTGGAAAAAAAACAATGTAAAATCCCAGGATGTATTGGAAAAAAACAAATGTAAAAGTACCAGGATGTATCTATAATACCTATCCCACGTAACACACACACACACACACTACTACAAAACCTGTTTTTATGTTAGTCACTGTAAATATGACATGGCTCAACATGGTTATATATTTTCAGAAGGCATCATATTTTGAAACTCGAACATGTACATTATTACGTGCATACTCCACATGAGAATATTAATTAATCTTCAACCTTACATATTACAGTATGTTAATATTTTTAGAGAAGAAGAACACTATTTTTTGTTGTGGTTGTTGTTTTTTAAATTAACAGGTGCTTTCAAAATATTATCATTTAGGCAAGAAGACAAGACACAACTAATATTACTGAAAAAGACATTTCAATAGGTTTACATAAAATGAAAAAAAAACATTATTTGTGATGTCTTAGAGTAACCCTTTTATCCTCCGTGGGTCTGTGGTAAGTTTACGGACTTATAACGCTAAAATCTGGGGTTCGATTCCCCGCAGTGGACACAGCAGATAGCCAATGTGACTTTGCTCTAAAACCAACCAACTAATCAATTTAAGCCTTTCGTTACTGAGTCAATTTTAATTTAGTTATAGTTGCTAATCGCCAGACGTTTTTAACCGTCATTAGGTAAACAGCCAGTAGGTAAAACATAAGTTAAAACACTATTGAACATTGAAGTACATAATGAAAACTATTCAATCCGCATCTAATATTTAAGATTAATACTTTCTCTATTGTCGCGACATACGTCGTCATACGTGTAAAATAGACTTAAATGTCACTTTTATTTACAGACATGCGCCGTGGTGCACAAACAGTGGGGCTCGCCCCCTTTGAGAGGAGTGGAGAATCGGTAGGAGACGCACAACTATGACTCTAAGAGCGTATAAACTATATCTGAAACTAAAACTTTAAGAATGAAAAGCTTTTAAAACTACCGTACAAATATTACTACTATTAAGTAATATAGTAACAATTAACACGGGAAAATTACATATACAGTATTTATATATATATATATATTCACCAACAGTAATCACAATTCACACAACATAATGGATGCAGAATGCATTCGAAACGCGTCGGCCAACTCATCACTAGCTACAACTTTTACCCGTTGTTCTAACAACGGGAAGACGGCTTATCGACTTCTTGAGAAGAATTCTAAGAAGAAAGTAAACCTACAGACATCGGTCTTGTTTAACAAAATCTGCCTACAAGAAAATCTGTACACCAATATATATATATATATATATACAAATGGATTAGAGTGGAGAGCTGTGTCAGCCTGAAGGATGCAAAAGCAACAAGTAGATGTTAATTTCATGCTGAAAAGTGAGGCTACACACAGCTGAAAAGTTGTGCATGTCATTTTCTTTCTTCTTAGCGTGAATTAGCCTCTGATATACAAAAACAGTTTTGTATTCGAATAGTTTCGTCTCACTGAAGGCATAGAAAAACTAATACGTTGGCTGTCCAAAAACATTTCACATCGCTGTTTATTGTCAGTAATTTGTAAAATACGAAACAAGGCAGTTGCCACTCAAAACATTTATTGTTTTGCCTTATTTTATAAGTGGAACCTACTTGATCGATATTTCATGTCCCCGCTTACCTAATTAAACCTCCATTCTATTTATTGTTTTATCTTTGTGTGTTTCCTATTTTTGCCGCTAGCTAAAGAAGAGATTTAATTAAGTTAGAATAAAATAGCCATTTACGCTGTTTACACACCACAAGTACAAACTTTTTAAAAGTTAATTATGTTAGAAGCATTTTAAAACTCAGGCCACAATACCCCTCTCAGAGCGCACAGATGTTTAGATACGGTAAACCTCGAGCCCAAATGATCATATTATAATATTTATAAACCAACGCTATTGAAATGTAGCCATAGTCGTGGCTACATTTCAGCAAAAAAAGCAACGTGACTGTTGATTGAATGGCCTAGATATCGTGAAATGTTTTTTACGTATTTCTCATCTTGTTGTTTTCAAGTTTTGGACATTAGTATAGATTTACTGGTTTGTCAAAAAAAACGTGGATAAGTAGATGTTACAGATCGGTAAGAAACGATCTCTTTTTCTTCAAGTGTCGGCTCAGAAGTAAACAGAGAACAGACAGAAGAAATAGTTAACTGATGGTGGTAATGAAAAACAACAAACTGATGGCTCCGCAGCTGGACCAGGCACTTCTTCGGTTTCCATTTCTACAGCTTCTGTCGGTAGCCTGAGCACCAAACCATAAACTAAAGAGCGTAAGTACTAGTAAGATGATTAAAAATTTGGTTTCACTTACAGAGTTGTTAATAACGGGGAGGCCCGGCATGGCCAGGTGGTTAGGGCGCTCGACTCGCAATCTGAGGGTCGCGGGTTCGAATCCCCGTCCCACCAAACATGCTCGCCCTTTCAGCCGTGGGGGGGGGGGGTTATAATGTGACTGTCAATCCCACTATTCGTTGGTAAAAGAGTAGCCCACGAGTTGACGTTGGGTGGTGATGACTAGCTGCCTTCCCTCTAGTCTTACACTGCTAAATTAGGGACGGCTAGCGCAGATAGCCCTCGTGTAGTTTTGCGCGAAATTCAAAACAAACAAACAAACAAACTGGTGATCTAAAGTTGCAATTGATAAAACGCAGAAAACGTTACAAATTTAGCTCAGCTTCTGGTATTTTTGCGGTACATTACGAAGGGGAAGTGTGTGAAGAGTTTCTGTTTTGTCAAGCACTGGGAGGGAGAGGTACAGGGGAAAGCCATCTTCTCTATTGTTGGCGAGTTTCTCACCATGAACAATCTTTCTTTGATTGTCGGTTATGCACTGTTGGGGCAGCTGCACTTATGGGAAACGAGAAAGGGTTTGAAGCCAAAGTATGTGCTCTTGCTCCAAGTGTAACATTTACACATTGCATCATACACAGGGAAACACTAGCTTCAAAGAAATTGCATCCCGAAGCAAACAGAGTGCTGCAAGATGCTACGAGTGTTGTAAACGGTGAAATCAAGAGCTTTGAAGAGCAAGCTGTTTTTTCATTCTTTGTGAATAAATGCGATTCACGTATGGCAAGCTCTTGCTGCAGACAGAAGTGCGCTACTTATCCCGCGGGAATTTAGTTAGTCGCACTGTGCAGCTGAAAGACGAAATTCCTTTTTTTTTTTGGCTACACTGTAACCCCACACAAGCAGCGCAGTACTATGAAACCTGGCTGATATTTTCGATAAACTCAGCGACCCCACTTTGTCACTACAAAGTTGAAATGGCAATACTTTGCAACTTAACGACGAAGTATCTGTATTTCGCATAAAAAAACAACAAAAAAACGTACACTGTGTAAAATCCAGTTTCAGAATGAAAATTACGAAATGCTTCTTTGTCTTGGCGAATTCTTGGAAGAAAATGAATTGAACATAGTCTTATTCGTGACATTGTTTCTGTTCATGTAGAAAAACTTCAATGTCAATTTTCAGATCAATTCCAAGAGTCAACGGGAGAACACGATTGGATTCGGAATCCATTTAATGACAACCTAACTTCTCATCTGTCAGTGGCAGCTCAAGAAAAGCTCATAGAACTATCCAGTGAAAAAACTCTTCAGGCAGAATTCAAGTCAAACTTCTTGGGAACTTCTGAATACTAGGTCGCAAAGAATACCCGTCTCTGTCAAGAAAAGCGATGGACATGCTTTTGTCTTTTGCATCAACATATCTGTGCGAGTTAGCTTTTTCAGCTCTGACAGAAACCAAAACAAAACAGCGACCTCATCTGCAGGAAAAGGGTGTTCTTGAATAACATGTAAAACGTAAAATTCTAACTTGAATATGAGTCACACATGATAAAATTAAGAACTGATACGTATAGTGCAGAATATTTATATATCTTTAAATCTCGTGTAAGGATGTAACTAATAATTCTAAATATAAATATACATTATTAAAATAGAAATTCTTTACCTGTCATAGAAAGTTCGCACCAGTAGATCACGTCTTTCTTCGGTCTGAAGATGAAGATTGTATATGATAATTTCTTCCTCAACGTTGACTACTAAAGAATTAAATTATAATTATTTAATCGAACTGTATATTTTTTGAATACAGAGACAAACACTATATGTTCCTTTTATATATATTTTTGTTTTACTTTTTAGTTATGATAGATTAATTAATATTTTGCAATACCAATTTATTAGCGTTTTCGTTAGATTCAAATGAAACATCTAAGCCCAATTTCTAGTTGTAAGTATTATCGTATGTTGTTTTTTCACCGTACACTAGAAGTCTCGATGTAAGCATGTAATCAGATATTCATGGATTAACCATATCATATTCTTTATGAACTAAGTAGCCAAGGAGTTTTGGCTTCAGATATTTGCGCAAGGCTACACAGAGCTAGCGGTCCATAATTTTGAATTGAAAGACTAGAAGTAAGACATCTAGTCAACAACATTCACCGCCAACTTTCAGACTATTGCCCCCCAGTGGTACAGCGGTATGTCTGCGGACTTACAACGCTAGAATCCGGGTTTCGATACCCGTGGTGGTCAGAGCACAGATAGCCCTTGTGTAGCTTTGTGCATAATTAAAAACAAACAAAACAAACAAACAATTCAGACTATTCTGATCGAATAATGGCACTGGACTCTCACTCTTAGAATGGACTCACAATCAAAAAATACATAGACCCGTAGATCCTGAGGTTCCAATCTGTCACGCTAACCAATAGGCAACGCCAAGAACTAATAAGATTAAAATAAATAAATACATCTATACGATTCATATCTTAAAATTAAGTTACGATTTTTTAATGGAAAATATTCTACTCACATTACAGTGACTATACTAAACAAATAAAAAAAAAAAACAATGCCACATCTGTCAAATTTTTGTATTTCTGAGCTGTAATTCAGTTCCCAATAGCTTAGGCGTAGAAAGGCTTAGCTGGATTGAAAAAAAAAAAGATGACATGGTTCAAAACTTCAAATCTGAGTTAGTAATTACATGTGCTTTTTGACTTAATATGATTTTCTAATTTTATCCTAAACCTACAACATATAAAGTTTGAGAAGATATGAAAACCAGAAAATAGGAGAGCCTCAAATACTTTACGGAGATGAAAGTGTAACGTTGGGTGCATGAATAAAAATTAGCCTCTTTATTTAAAATGTTCAAAGAATATTTCTTATCTCTTTCATATAAATTTATCTTTCATGTTTGAAAGTCTCTTATTTATAATGCTAGTGTGAGATTTGTAACTATGTTATACAGTTACATAGTTTTAAACTATAGTTACATACCTTGATTTTTCATGCACGAAAATATTACCTTAAACTTTACACATACCAGACGAGTACTCACGATTTTTTTGTTTGTCAAAGTTTCAAGCATCCTCAGTGAAACACTACTAACGTTGAATTTTATGCATAATGCTTTTTCTTTCCAAAAATATACAGTATTGGACATAATTACGGAAATACACAAGTAATACTCTCAAAGGAGTCATATACAATGACTAACTGCAAATAAATGATCAGTTTATCACTAATACAATACTTGATATACAAAATACAGAAGATCATATAAATAGTACAATGCATTTGTATTTTGTATTTGCTTTAAGCAGAACGGTACATCTTGCTTTTATGCTTGTTTGTTTGTATGTAATTAAGCACAAAGCTACACAATGGGCTATGTATGCTCTACCCACCACGGGTATCGAAACCCGGATTCTAGCGTTGTAAGTCCGCAGACATACCGCTGTGATACTGGGGGCTGCTTTTATGACACCATAAACTTATCAATGTATGATTACGAAATATTGTTCCAAAATGTTCTGTATTACTGTTCATACTTAAGCTAATTTATTAGACTGCCATTTTACTTTCTCAGTTCTCAAATAAGGCCAATAGCCTTACATCAAGACTTTATCCAAACAAGCCATAATTATGAGTGTTCTATCTTCCTCTTTTTTTACTTTCAGGTATCATTTCACCATATTTCTGCATGCATGAGATCAGTGTCTTGGTGGAAGATGAATCCGTGCCCAATGGGAAATGCTATGATGTATAAAAGTCAACTTGCACCTATCAACAGTCAGGGTGCCATTCATTTTATATAGATCTCCAGCACCATTGGCTGAGATGCTGCACTGTAGAAGTTGCATTGACTATTATACAATTCTTCTTAATTGCTTCCGAAATTTTGGAATTTAAATACATCTGTAAAAAGCAGTCTCGCCAAGCCTTGTTCATCCCATTCTTAAAAATTTGATGCCCATTTCAGTCTTTTGGTTTGATTATCTCTGTAAGCAGTAGTTTTTGAACAGCTACACATCCAGTGAGGTCACTTCAACTAATGTCTATCGCGCTGTTCTGGAGACAACATATCATAAATAACTGAACATTGTTTTTGAAGAGTCTGGGTTTTCTACCTCAAATGTTTCTATTATCAATTCTACTGGTTTCACGTACGCTCTTTAGTTTCCAAATATGAAATTTCAAATCAATCTGTCAGATGAAGTATCTTTCACCACGGATACACGTTATTCATGTGACATGTCTGTCCTGTGAGGCATTAAAGGAACTACTACTGGGAATAGTATAACTGCTTAAAACACGTATTAAGGACTAACCTAAATCTCTTAAACTGGCCGAACCTTGTGAGGTATTACAACTGGTAAAACAACGAATTATACTCTTTATATAAGCAGAAACGTAAGGAAAGGTATATTTAATTAACTATACTGAAGCGAAGTGGATTTTGGGTTTCACTCTAACTATCTCTGATCATAAATATAATAAACACTTTTATAACTTTGATGTAAGGTTATTCTCAAAACACACACACACTTACAGTTAATACAGCAAAAGTGGTGTCCATCAACTGTAAAGAAACTGGAAGTTACAGCCAGAGAATCTGCAAAAATAAAAATACATGAATAAGATAAAACAAATAATAATAATAAAAGGATCCTCTTACACTGCTGATAAATTATAAAAAAAGTTTAATTATCACCCGCATAGATGTACCTAGTAAAAAAGTTAAATAACATTAAAACATATAATAATGTAAATTTTTCCCATCACTAATATTATAATTTTTTGAAAGAACGAAATTTGTTAACAGCAACGTTGTTGAATGATAGACTGGGCTTCAATCAAATTTTCTAAGCTTAATGTACACTTGAAAGTAGGTGTTGTTAAGCAGTAACGTAGCAGCCGGTCACTTGAATTTGTATTTATGGCAAAGTTGCTAAAGCTACCTGCCGCCATTCCTAATTTTGTGCTATTGTCCAAAGGCAAGGCAGCCAGTCATCAGCATCCTACCATTCTCCGTCTACACTAAGGGATTGTCTGTCACACTTATAACGCACCTACAGTTTAAATTGCTGGGAATATTTTGAAGTATCACACGGATTCGCGACCGTCTCGCCAACTTCGAAATCCAGAGCTTTACCATATAACCGTGATCCCTAAATTTGAACAAATGGCCAGACGAAAGGCAGGCAGTTAGAAATACGGCCGCTATATGGGCTTTTTCTGGCTACTATACTATACTGCGCGCTATACATCCTTTGCCTAGTCTCACTGATCCGGAAACTGTGTTCATATACAGGGACACTGTAAGATAATCAATTTGTAAAAATAGAAAGAAAACTTCTAATAAATTCAAAAAACTAGACCTGGACGAAGTCTAAACTGTTCAAAATAAGCAGCATTAAGGCGGCATAAAAGGGCAAAACGTTGAATAAGTAAGTACGTTTTTCCTGCTCTTGGATGCAGTGTTAGTTATGTTTTATATCTGCTCAGTTTTATACAAACACTTTTCCAAGGAAAAACCACCCCTTTACTCCGGAAACTAATGTGCTGTAGTAAACACTGAGTATAAATATATCCTTTTTTTTTGGATTTGAAGTTTACCCTAAAAGCCGTCGTATTTCATTGCTAGTTTAATAAGTTTCAGGCTACCTATTTCTTGGCATTTGGAGTTTCCCGAATGTCTAAACTCTATTTTCTATTTATTTATTTTTTCGTAAGTCTATTTCTTACCAAACACCTAATATAATATTAATTCCTGATATCTGTCTGATCCACTGTAATTCGTGTTTTTCAATATAATAAAAACATCAAAGGAATAACAAAATAAAAAATATCAAATCTTTTTTCCTGAAATCCATACTAAATTACGTTAATGTTTTCTAACAACAGAAAACTTCCAAAAAGATGTTAAGAAATAAATAGTTGATATGACTCTAACGTGACTAAAACTCATATGTTTAATGTGATCATCAATGAAAACTTAAATTTTGCAATCAAGATATGAAGAATGTAAGTTTGTTTGTTTGGAAATTCGCGCAAAGCTACACGAGGGCTATCTGCGCTAACTGTCCTTATTTTAGCAGGGTAAAATAATAGCCCAAAAGTTGGCGGTGGTTGGTGATGACTAGCTGCCTTCCTTCTAGTCTTTCAAACGAATAGTGGAATTGGTTGTCACACGGCTGAAATGGCGAGCATGTTTGGTGAGACGGGGATTCGAACCCGCGACCAGCAGATTGCGAGTCCAGCGCCATAACCACCTGGCCATGCCAGACCCGGATGTAAGAAACCATTGACTTTAAATAATAGACAAGACTTCTTCAGAAAAACATTTGGTGTTCTCTAACCATGCTTGGAACCACTAGCAACTCTTTCAGATATAAAAATATTCGTATTTAGATTAATTTTATTTGGTAACTTATAACGAAAACCTTCCAATGTAACGCTTTGCTTTGACTAAATAGTACAACAGGCAGTAATATCTTTAAATAACTGAAACTGCTGGTGTTCATTCCTGTTCTTCCTTCTTTAAATATATTGCTTACCGGTGGAATTTCGATCTTCATTGATATTTATAATTGGTCTATTCCCAGCTTTATCGTGTTCTTCAGCTATCGATGAGTGATATTTTTCCATGTTGGATCTCTTTAGTTTTTCTATAAAATTATAAAAACGAATATTACGCACGACAATTACTTTCCCATGCCGTATAATAAGAGTCGAAGTTTTTCGGTACATGTAAAATCAACTAAACATGAAAGATATTTCCTATTCTGGTTCTGCTTACTCTTCGTCTCTTAATCTTCGGTTTCTAATATGACTATGATAATAACCCAGATGTATGACAAGTTAATAAAACTCCTTTCACCCTAAGAAGTTTGGTCAAGGTGCTACTTTTGCAGATTACCAAAAGGCAAAGAAACAAATCATCACGAAGAATTAATAATTCTAAGAAAACGAACAGGATTAACAATGATATTATAAACTAACACTAGGATAAACAGGGCATCTGAAAGTCAAGTAGTTATAGTTTTACTACATGGCTCTGAGTTTTGATAGAGTAACATGGTTTGTTTTGAATTTCGCGCAAAGCTACACGAGGGCTATCTGCGCTAGCCGTCCCTAATTTAGCAGTGTAAGACCAGATGGAAGGCAGCTAGTCATCACCACCCACCGCCAACTCTTGGGCTACTCTTTTACCAACGAATAGTGGGATTGACCGTCACATTATAATGCCCCAGCGGCTGAAAGAGCGAGCATGTTTGGTGTGACGGGATTCAAACCCGCGACCCTCAGATTGCGAGTCGAGCGCCCTAACCACCTGGCCATGCCGGGCCCTAGAGTAACATCAAGTACAACCTAATGGAAGGCACCTGATACTTTATATTATAGTTGGGAACCCTTGAATAACAGCATGTTTGATTTGTTGTTTGTTTTAAAGGAAAGCCACATTGAATTATCTATTGTGTCCACAGCGGGGAATCGAATCCAGGATTTAAGCGTTGTACGTTTGTAGACTTATCGCTGTCTCACCGGGGGACCAGCATGTTTGAAGATCACTTTCAACATTTTTAACTAATAACATCAACAACTGGGAATCATGAGAAAGGATAATAAAACAGTCACTTATGATAGTGAGTGATTTGATATTCAAATACATTTTAATTTTTTTCTTGAGAAACAGTCGTCAGGCATTTCTTTCAAAAAATAAGTTTCTCTTGCGATAAAGAATAATAAAATGTTAGGCTTAACTGTGTTCAGAAATGAAACAAGCGTACACAAACAATCTTTTTTAGGTTGAATACAGATTCTCACTATCATATGATATGAAAACAAAGTTCGTCAATTTAGTTAGTTCTATGCATTAATATACACAGCGTGGTCACAAGTAAATATACACCATCTTTAAAAAAAAATGAAGTTTTTCAGTCATATTCACATGAATTGATATATTTATAATTTAATTAATATCTAGTAGATCTTCCTTTCGCTTCATGGAGTTCGTTGATCCTCTGGGGCATCGTGAGAATCATCTCGTCAATTTTAGATTGTGGGATTTTCGCCCACACTTGCTTCAAAACTTGGAGTAGATCGCTCTTCGAAGTTGTTTTTTTTTTGTTGTTTCTTGACTTGCCGATCGAGTATGGCCCAGAGGTTTTTTGATGGGATTCATGTCAGGAGATTGGCTCGGCCAGGGCAACTTCTGGATACAATTTTTTTCTTGCCACTTTTGGGTGTTTCTAGCAGTGTGACACGGTGCTCCATCTTCCTGGAACAACGTTGTGTTCTTGTCCACGAAACCCGAGGAATAAAGTGGCAAGAGTCCTTCCTCCAATATTTCGACGTATTCAACAAAATTTATGTTGCCAACGCACTCCACTAAGCTCGATCTCCTACCAACCCAAACAGCTCCCCAAACCATCACCCTGAAACCACCATGCTTCACAGTTGGCTGCAATCTGTTGAGCCAAAACCCTTGGTGAGGCATTCTCCAGACCCATATCCTTCCACTGTCCGAAAATTTAGCGAATCTTGATTCGTCTGAGAACAATACGGTCTTCCAAAAGTCCAGAGGCTTGGTCATCATATCACTTGCCCACTTCTTTCGTCTGACTATGTTGGCGGATGTTAATAAGGGCTTCCGTCTAGCTGCTCTGCAACGATAACCCAATGTGTGGAGCATCCGTTGAACAGATTTCGGTCTCACCCCACCAACTTTGGCCACTTGTGCAGTCGTTAATCTGGGATCCATTTCGATGCTCC